GTGCGTACACTACCTACACCCCAGCCATCTAATCCCTAGATACACACGCTACCATGCCTGGCTAATTTTTGTACTTTTGTAGAGATGGGGTTTCACCACGTTAGCCAGGCTGGTCTTGAAATCCTGACCTCATGATCTGCCTGCCTTGGCCTCCAAAAGTGCTGGTATTACAGGCATGAGCCACTGCACCTGGTCTTAAACCTTTTCAAAGCCCCCAAATATTAATGTAATTCAGAATAGCAGTTACATGCTAGATTGAGGAAGGGTGGTGTGGTGACAGGCACACAAAAATATCCAAAGACAGGTAACGTCCATTAATAGAAACTTGGTTTTAAAATGCTCTACAGCGATTAAGTGAATAAGGCTACAAGTAAAACAGAAAAATCTCAAAAAGCATATTGAGAGAGAAAAGCAAGCAAGCTACAGAAAAAGGTACACAGTATTATAATACTTATATAAAAATTTAAAATATGTTAAGAATACCATATATTGTTTATGGATACATGAATGATAATAATTACAAGATAAAAACACTCAAGGAATTCAGGATAGAGGTTAGATTTAGGATAGAGGCTACCTCTTTCAAGCCAAGGGAAAAATAAGGAGAAGAACGGGTCTTCTATCCTGTTCCGTAATTTTTTTTAGTTCTTAAGCTGTTGGTAGGTATCTCAGTGTGATTATTTTCTATATTCTCTACATATTTTAAAAATCTAATCTACTCTATGAAGTACAGATTATATTAATTCCGAGAAGTACAAGATCCTTACAACTTGATATAGCATTCGAACCACAGGGAAGTGTTGATATCATACTCCGTAACTTCATCAGAATCACTGCCTTTTGACATATTCTAAGCATAAGAATAGGTAGCATTTATGATGCATTTATTATATGCCAGGCACTGAACTAAATGTTTTATGTGTATGACTTATTTATGTTAATACTCAGGGAAACCCTAATAAGGTAGGTATAAGTAACATCATTTTAATGATAAAGGAATTTAGGTTCAGAAAGTTTAGGTAATTTGTTCCAAGTTAACAGCTAATAAGTAGCAAGGACAGGTCCATTTGACAACAAAGCCCATGGTCTGCATTCACAACAGGATGTCGCGTTGTGATCACCAGAATGGCCCAACGAAGAGACCTCCATGTCAAACCTCTAGCCATTTCTAGCACCATTAGTGAGTGCAATGAATGTAGCCAGTTAGTAACTGCTAAGGTGATCAGTGCTCTAAAGCTCCCACTGCTTCTTTTCTGTGTATTTCTCCTAGCCACTTTCTTGTTCTTCCATGTTTTGACATTTTAAAAATGCCTTATTACCTCAGTGTTATTTGTACAGCACCTTCAAGAAAAAGGTACTATATCAATGGAATAAAAATACTGCAATAATGCTTCTTCTATGTCATGTCATCTCATTAGCTCTCTTATGTCAATAATCACTGTGTCCCTCCCACAAGTATCTAACATTTCATTGGAAATGTTATACAGTCCTGAAAGAATGGAAACTGAGTCATCATTGTACCATTTAGCACAATCCCAATGCATGGAGACAGATGCATATACGGAAACTCACTCACTCAGGCACAATAAACCCTTTGAAGGTAAAGGATGTTGGTGTCTAAAGACAATTATTAATACCAGGTTCCACCCATACGCTCTTCAGCCCATGCTTGCCATGCTCCTTTCATGCTCAGGTACTTTGAAGTTTTCTTTTGTGAACTGGCAGTTCAGAACTTCAGGTATTCTTTTAGGAATAAGCAGTTGACAGAGGGTACCTTCTTTTAACCCACACTCCTTCTTTGCCTTTTCTATATCTGCACAGGCTGATGATGTCATAACATCATCAGGCTAACATACAAATTCAACTGGCTGCTCACAAAGAGAGGAGTCGAAGCTCTTATACATTCTGTACTTGAATCTGAAACAGAATCCAGGAATCACAGAATGTTACAGCCAGTAATGACTTTAAAATTCAGCTCAATCCTCTTATTTTACAGATAGAGAGAGCAAGAGCTGAGAAAATTACTACAACTTACCAGAAATTCAAAGTTAGCAGTCTTCTAACTTCCATGCCAAAGTCTGTGCAATACAAAGAGCTTTAGAGTTAGACCTGGATTTAAATCCTTGATTTACTAGGCATATAGCTAAAAGCAAATTGTTTAATCTTTTGGGGCAAAAAACAAAGGGAGCTGGTTATTTATACCTCTCAGGATAATGTGGGTCAATTAAGATAATGTATATGAAGAACCTAGCATGTGAGTACTCAACAATGACAGAATTAAGAAGTAAAGGTATTTTCCTAACTTCAAGAAAGGGGCAGTAAGAGTTATCTCTTCATTTTGGCCCTGATATTTGCATCGTAGTTCTTATTCTCTTATGCCTTTCTTTTTTTTTTTTTTTTTTTTTTTTTTTTTTTTTTTTTTTTTGAGACGGAGTTTCACTCTTGTTACCCAGGCTGGAGTGCAATGGCACGATCTCGGCTCACCGCAACCTCCACCTCCTGGGTTCAGGCAATTCTCCTGCCTCAGCCTCCGGAGTAGCTGGGATTACAGGCACGCGCCACCATGCCCAGCTAATTTTTTGTAGTTTTAGTAGAGACGGGGTTTCACCATGTTGACCAGGATGGTCTCGATCTCTTGACCTTGTGATCCACCCGCCTCGGCCTCCCAAAGTGCTGGGATTACAGGCTTGAGCCACCGTGCCCGGCTGCCTTTCTTTCTGAATCCCACTCTCCTTGCTAATGATTGGTCGGATGGCTATGACTGCAGGGGCTGAGCAGGTTAGAGACACATTTGGTTTGCTACCAGCACCTCTCTATAAGATTCAAGTTCCAGTCAGCAGAGGAATGGAGTCATAACCTGACCTTTGGAATTAGCAACCAACTTCGGATTACTGCCCAAAAGAAAGAAATTCTCAGAAGTCTATTCCGAAAATGAAGGGGAACAGATTTATATTACACGTAAAGAAGTAAACAACAAAATATGAGGCACAGAGCCTGCCTCCCATCATTCTACACTGGAGAGCAGAAGATGAAAGGTCCAGAAACAGCCACTTCATCTGATTCAGATACAGTGAAGGTCTGTTCCCTTGATATATTGTATAATTCTCACATAAATTAGAAAACTAGGAATCTCCAAGCTTATCCATCTCTCTAAACGAGAAAAAAACTTAGGAATAATTAATTTCTAAGTTGGTTGAGTTAATGGTATATCCAAAGGTCTTAAATTTGTCTTTGAATAAAGTTGTGAGTCTAAAAGAGGTTTATGTGACTAAAGCTTCTCCACAGTAAACTGTTACTTGTAAAAACTGAGTTTAAAAAACTCTGAACTTTAATGAACTTTCAAAGCAAGATGCTTTGAAACTGAGTGAACCAGCAGCCCAGATCTTGGCAACTCACCTTATTATCAACTAAGGGGAAAAATAATTTCTCAACAAAGTTAAGCTTGAAACCTTTAGTACCCAGAAATGGAATGTCTCCACAAGATAAAGTGACCTAATAGTGCTAGTGCAGCCAAAATAACCAGCCCTGAGACTGGCTGCTCACATGCTCACTGGCATATTTTTCTCAAATGTTTTCAGAATGATTTTTCACGTGTCAATCTTCTTACTACAAGATGCACCTGAAATAGGGAGGACTATGAAAACACTTTGTCCCGTCCTGCTTCACAAGCCCATTAACCTGGGTGGTCTCTCTAGAACACCTTATCTAGCCACTACGCAATGCTCACTCTGATATGCTCATGTCCCATTGCTTATCTCGCAGATGTACTATGCCGATTTGGCAAGATGCTTTGAAACCCAACCCCACTTCTAGATTATGACAAAAATATGTCTTTCAGAATGATTTCTTCAAAATAATTTAGAAAGAATTTTGGTAATTTGGCTAAACTTTTTCTCTCATTGAAAACAAATTACTTCTTTTTAACACTTTTCCATAACCTTTTTTTTTCTCTTAGCAAGGTATCCTGAATGCTTCATTTTTGTCAAATATAAATTAGTGATCACTAATGAGTACGCAGTCTCATTCATTTATGATACATGAATTAAACAATCCACTATTGTTACACATTTTCACTTACCAACTTTTCACTATTATAAAAAAGATTCCATTGAGCTTCCTCAAGTTATATCACAGAAGTAGATCAACTGGTAACAGAGGATGCACATTTTTAAAGCATTTGTTGCATATTACCAAATTCTCTTGGCAAAGCACTCTGCAATTTCCCATAGCACAAGACTTACTATGGTATAGAAGAATCATCTGTTCACTTGTCAGTCTCCTACATTATTCACGATCCAGGACAAAAGATGGTTCTCAATAAATGTTAACTGGATAAATAAGTGGCTAATGTTCTCCTGTAGAAAGTCCATCACTGGATTATGTTTAAAAGTATTTATCAGCTGTTATCTTAAACATTTCATAAATTGTTTTGTGTGTCTTTAAGGGTACTCTTAGCATCATGTGGGTCAGCATTTCTAAGAGATAAAGTGCTTAATACCTGTGAATTTTTATTTTCACAATCAGTAAGTAGAGATGAGAAATTCAACTGTGCTTGTTCCAACTCACTCATTAAGACTATTTGGGCTCACTAATAAGGCTTCTGTCATCATTGTAGACACTAAAGCTGGGTATAAAGGAAATCAAATTCAAAGTGAAAGAGAAACTAAGAGTTAAGTGCCTCCTATGAGTCAGGCACTCTGGCAGGGGCTTTGCATTCATTTTCTCATTTAGCCCTCAAAATAAACTGGGCAGTAGATGTCATCACCACATGTCAGCAGACAACAGTGTGTATAGCAAGCTTGGGCAGCTGCTCTCTCCTCAAAAATGCTAGAGCTAGGGTTTGAGACTCAGGTTTATTTGACTCTTAACTTAATTTGTGCTCTTCCCCCTATACCATGCACAACTGAAGCAACCACCTCCCAGCTTCCTAAAATGCAACAGCTCGTAGCCTGCATGGGGTACACTGCTGGTTTCCACATTTCCATTCTGTCTCCAAACCCCATGTACCCACTGGAAGCTTTAGTTTGGTATTTCACACCATAAAATACTTCATGTTTCAAGTAGTCAAATTTTAAAAAATGGAAAAGGTTTGTTTTGTTTCTCAATCCATTTAAAAATAAAAATTCATTTCCCGTATCTCAAGAGTTTGGTTCATACAAGACACTGTATAAAGGTCTCCTTTAACAGAAGAGGGTTCTGTTCACCATCCCCTCTCCTCCCAATTTATGTCCATAACAGGCGACAGCTTCCATTCATAGAAACATTTCTAGGTTTCTAAAGCTGCATTGTCTCCCACTCTGATTTCAACCACAAAACTTGAACATCTTATTTTAAAAAACTACAAAGCCATTAGTAGTCAGCCAATTCATAAACCAGACTTCCAGCCTTCTCATTAAAATCTTAATAAAATTCTGGTAGTTGGATGTTAATCAGGCTTAACAGCCTCAGCAAGAATAAACTGGTTAAACAGGAGTTAGCAAGAACCAGTGCACTTATAGACTTGGTTACTATGAAAACCTTGTTATATGCATTTACCTTATGCATATGTGGTAGCTTATGTGACAAACTGGGATCTATTGAATGTGACTAAGTTTACTTAGGTGTCCTTTCACGAATATTGTCTTCTAGCTCCTTTAAAAAGCAAAAGCAAAACACCTTTACCCTATCATATTCTCACCCAACCTCTCATGGCGATTCCTTCTCTTTAAAAATCAGACTATCTTCTTTTTTTAAAAAAATTATTTTTATTAATTTTTGCTTTTCTTTTAAAGATTATTTTTGGCTGGGTGCAGTGGCTCACGCCTGTAATCTCAGCACTTTGGGAGGCCAAGGCAGGCGGATCACAAGGTCAGGAGATGAAGACCATCCCGGCCAACATGGTGAAACCCCACCTCACTAAAATACAAAAAAATTAGCCAGGCATGGTGGTGCATGCCTATAGTCCCAGATGCTCAGGAGGCTGAGGCAGGGGAATTGCTTGAACCCAGGTGGCAGAGGATGCCGTGAGCTGAGATCATGCCACTGCACTACAGCCTGAGTGACAAAGCCGAGACTCCGTCTCAAAGAAAAAAAAAAAAGAGAGAGAGAGAAAAGATTATTTTTGTTAATTTTAAAAATCAGACTATCTTCACTGATCTCAGAATAGACGGATTGAATAACACTGCTTTGTTTTTGTGTGCTTCCTTTCTTTATTTTTTTGAGAGAGGGTCTTACTCTGCTGCCCAGGCTGGCGTATAGTGGCATGAACATGGCTCACTGCAGCCTTGACTTACTTCCTGGGCTCAAGTGATGCTCCCACCTCGGCCTCCTGAGTAGCTGGGACTACAGATGCATACCACCACACCCAGCTACTCTAAAAAAAATTGTGTTTTTTTTTTGGTAGAGATGGAGTCTCACTATGTTGCCCAGGCTGGTCTTGAACTCCTAGACTCAAGAGATCTTCCCACCTTGGTTTCTCAAAGTGCTGGGATTACAGGTGTAAGCCACCATGCCCAGCCTGTGTGCTTTCAAATAAGGTCAAAATATACACATATACAACACACACACACACACACACACACACACACACACACACACCGACCCATGTATATATCCTCCTAATGATATATACATATACAACACACACACACACGCACACACACACCCATGTATATATCCTAATGATAATAAATGACTCCTATCCTGTGTTTTCTATTTATGTCCATGAATCTGCAATTTGAGTAACACCTCAAAAATAAAATGGACCTTGTCTTCTGCCCTTCTTCCCATCTGAAGAGATGGCATCAACATTCACCTAGAGAATAAAGCCAGAAGCCAGGAATTATCATGAACTCCACGTTCTCCCTTCTTAATTTTATATCTCCCAAATCACCAATTCTAGTCACTTACAACTCCTAAGTATCTCTTGAATCTATCTACTTCTCCACTACCACTCTAGTCTAAGCCATCATCATCTGTCAGGCTTCTTCGCTAGCATCTTTTTTCTTTTTTTTTTTTTGAGACAGAGTCTCACTCTGGAGTATAGTGGCCCCATCTCAGCTCACTGCAACCTCTGCATCCTGGGTTCAAGCGATTCTTATGCCTCAGCCTCCTGAGTAGCTACAACTATAGGGGTGTACCACCACGTGCGGCTAATTTTTATATTTTTAGTGGAGACAAGGTTTTGCCATGTTGGCCAGGGTGGTCTCAAACTCCCAGCCTCAAGTGATCTGCCTGCCTTGGCCTCCCAAAGTGCCAGGATTACAGGCATGAGACACCATGCCCAGCCTCTATAACATCTTACTTGAAATCTTTGTGTGCTCTCTTGGCTCAGTCTGATCCACTCTCTACAATGTAACCAGTGATTGCAAAAAAATATATATTATAAGAAAACAAATTCTGATAACATAACTTCCCTGCCTAAATCCTTGAATGGCCTCTCTTGGCCTTTACAACCAGATCCCAAATCCTAACCATGGCCTAGAACTTAGAACTGGCTGCTGGCTATTTCTTCAGCCACATTTGATGCCACTGCTCCTCCTCTCCCTCTCTTGCTTTAGCTCCTTTTCCAGTGCTCTTGGTTTTTCAGACACTGTATGCTCTTTCTCAACATGGGGTACTTTTCTATTCTCTCCCCCTCCCCCCGCCCCGAGATGGCGTCTTACTCTATCGCCCAGGCTGGACTGCAGTGGCATGATCTCAGCTTACTGCAACCTCCCACCTCCCAGGTTCAAGCAATTCTCCTGCCTCAGTCTCCCGAGTAGCTGGGATCACAGGTGCACACTACCACATCCGGCTAAGTTTTGTATTTTTAGTAGAGGCAAGGTTTCACTATGTTGGCCAAGCTCAAACTCCTGACTTCAAATGATACCCCTGGCTTGGCCTCGTGCCTATAATCACGCTGGGATTACAGGCATGAGCCAATTGTGCCTGGCTGTCAACATAGGGTACTTTAATCATGACACATGGAAGATATTTTTATCCTCATATTCACCTTGTTAAATCCTACTCATATTTGAACTCTTAACATACACACTACTTCCTAAGGGAAGTCCTTGAGATTACCCATAGAAGGCACTTTATTAAATACTTGTTGGATGAATGAATGTCTTATTCACGGTGTGTCTCAGCTCCTAGCAAAATGCCTGCCACATAACATACAATATAAATTTGTTGAATTTAACATATTGGATACTGACGAACACACAAAGTTGAAGAATATTAGTTCTCTTACAGATGTTAATGGATTTTAAATTGCTCCAAAATGTTTTTATAGGAAGCAAGAGTGCACCTACATACAGGAGAAATATTAAGCACCCTGTCAATAAATAGATGTTTGGGTTTCATAAATTATCCCTGCACATATAAAAATTTCTTCCTTATTATTCATCATGAGTAGTCTGTCCTCAAAGGACTTAAAAGGTCTTTCAAATCACTTCCTGCTTGCTTAGATTCAAACCACAAAACTTTTTATTTGAGAATAATACAAGTAACATTAGATTGGCTCCCAAAAGCACATCCTCAAATATGTTTTGCAAAAACAGGCAAGAAGAGAAAATATGAAGTTGATAAAGCTTACTCTTTTCAGCAATTAAGATTACTTTATAATCTCGTTTATCACCGAAATTATACATTCTCTAGACTCTTCACACCTACAGAGCCTACTACTCAGAAGTGTGAACTAGCAAAAAAATTATTTGGAGTAAGGCTTGTTTCTTATACAGCATTTATTGTGCAGACTATACCGTTTTCCCTGTAACAGTGTTTCACAATCATTTACAGGGCATAAATTAACAATGTTAGCATTACAGCAAATATCTAACAATCCATTAGTATTACAAAAAGGTACATTTACCTTATTTCAGTCTAACCACAAAATGTCAATTTTTTGAAAACACAGGGAGAAGTTTTCTGAATACTGTGGCATTAATCTAGTTCTAATGAAATATGCACTTTATGATGTATGTGCATATATACATACAGTTCAACCATCAAAATGAACGGTAGTCTGGCATGTTGTGGAAAATCTGGGTAAAGCTGACAAAATAAAATAGGCAAGTTAGAGCCTAAAAACAAAACAAGAAACTTCTATTTGTTTACAGGTGATCCTTGGTATCATCTAAAGACTTCCCCTTAAGCCATTAGTCCTTAGTGTCTTTCATGAATTACTCCAATGGCACAGATGGGGCATGAATGTAACTGCTGGAGAGGCTGGAGTTGGAATATTTTAGCCCAGACCTAAGGCTTTGAATGTTCCATAAAGACATCAGTGACAACAGAATAGAGAAGCAGGAAAACATTTGGGAATAAATTAGAAAAAACAGCAGGTTACCATCCCCCTTTTTAGATCACTGACTGTTTTTATGATTGTATCCACAGTCCTAATGCTATTAGTCTTTTGTTTCACGGTGCAGATGTGACAGGAGAAAAGACAAAAAAAAGTAACTCCCATCAGCACCTCTCTTTTGATGGTGGTGGGACTGGGTAGAGCACAGGTGGGACTGCTCTTGCCCACCTATGCTCTTACAACCTGGTACTATTTGTTCTCGCTTCCTTCTATCCACAAAGGCAGCTCCTGACTTAATGAGCTATTTCTAAATACTCCCTCAACACTCCCTGAATATTTCTACTCAGTTCTCAGCCTCATCATCTCATACCAGGACCACACACTATAGATCTTCAGGTCTCCTTCATTTAAGCTCTGCTACTAAGCTGATCACCGCATCTGTTTCAGTAAATTCAACTTAGAGTGGTGATATTAACTCTTGAGATACATTTTCCCTTAAGATAAAACTTGCAAACGTTCAGCACAAACTCAAGAAATACAATATGCTATATTTTAAGAATGTCAGCTGGGCACAGTGGTGCATGCCTATAGTTCGAGTGTATTCGTCCATTCTCATGCTGCTATGAAGAAATATCTGAGACTGGGTAACTTATAAAGAAAAGAGGTTTAACTGACTCACAGTTCCGCACGGATAGGAAGGCCTCAGGAGACTCACAATGATGGTGGAGGGGAAGCAAACATGTCCTTCACAAGGTGGCAGGAGAGAGGTGCCAAGCAAACAGGGAAAAGTTGCTTATAAAATCATCAGATCTTGTGAGAACT